TCAATCAGATTTGTCTGATTTATTTGTCTCCCAGATTTGTTTGATTTTATTTGTCTTCCAAATCAGTCAGATTTGTTTGTGTTATTTGCTGATTTTTATCTTTCTTTCTTTTACGGTGATATTGACGCCCTATGAATGCATCATATGGCAAGCTGGCTTTACCTCTTACACAGCTACTTAAAAAGGACAGCTTCAATTGGGACACTACAGCAACTATTGCTTTTGAAGAGTTGAAGAGAACTATGACATCCTTACCTGTATTAGCAGGACCTGATTTTAACAAATTGTTTATATTGGAGACTGATGCATCTGGGACAGGTCTTGGGGCAGTTCTTATGCAAGAAGGGGGGCCTATTGCATACATGAGCAAGGAATTATCCAAGAGAAATCAGGGCAGATCTGTTTATGAAAGAAAACTTATGGACATAGTGCTAGTTGTGCAAAAATGGAGACCATATCTATTGGGTAGAACTTTTGAGATTCATACAGATCTGAAGAGTTTGAAATTTTTGGCTGAACAGAGACTAATGGGGGAGGAACAACAGAAATGGACCTCTAAACTACTATGCTACAATTTCATCATCAAGTATAAGCCTGGGGTAGAAAACAGAGATGCAGATGCCTTATCAAGAAGACCTACCTTACATTCCTTATCCATTGTCACTTGTCAAGAATGGGAGAGTCTGGAGGATGAACTACAGTCAGATCCTAAATGCCAAGAGCTGATTCAGCAGGTAATATCTCAACCAGATAATTATCTAGACTTTCAGATGATTAAAGGGTTGTTATATTACAAAGGGAAGCTAGTTCTGCCAAAACCGGCAAAACAGTCTCCTAGAGTACTCAAGGTCTTAAAAGAGTATCATGACTCATCTGTAGGAGGACACTCAGGCTAGGACTATGAAGAGAATAACTAATTTGTTCTATTGGCATGGTATGAAAACTGACATCAAGAAATATGTAGAAGGGTGTACAGTTTGTCAAACCAATAAGTATCAAGCTCTCAAGCCAGCAGGATTGATACAGCCCTTGCCCATCCCCAATAATATCTGGACTAACATCAGCATGGACTTCATACGGGGTCTCCCTAAATCCCAGGGCTATGATACTTTATTGGTGGTTGTGGACAAGTTGACCAAATATGCCCATTTCCTAGCCCTCTCTCACCTTTTTAATACTAAAGAGATAGCAGAATTTTTCATAAAGGAGGTGGTGAGACTACATGGTTTTTCCAAGACCATTGTAAGTGATAGAGACAACATATTCATGAGCTCTTTCTGGTCAGAACTGTTTAAGTTGGCAGGAACTCAGCTCAAGTATAGTACAGCCTACCATCCTCAAACGGATGGGCAAACTGAGGTGGTTAACCTATGCTTAGAAACATACTTAAGGTGCCTTACAGGGAGGAAACCTAAGCAGTGGAGGCAATGGTTACACTGGGCTGAATTCTGGTACAACACAAATTGTCATTCTTCTTTGCAACTGACACCTTATAGGGCTGTTTTTGGACAAGACCCCCTTGTAGTCATCCGGGGTGATGTTACTCTAACGTCTGTGGAAGAAGTGTCTCAATTAACAGCTCAAAGAAATGTTATGTTGGAAGAACTGAAAGGGAATTTAACTACAGCTCAGAACTTGATGCAACAACAAGCCAATAAGCATAGTAGAAGAAATGTACAAATGGATGTGGGTGATCTGGTGTCTGGGTTATCTACTCGGCTGAGTACTCGCTACTCGGTCTCTTACCTTGCAGAGTAGCACCTTAATTCGGCCCGAGTTAATTTTCTGAGTTACTCGCCGAGTACTCGGCGAGTTAGTCAACTCGGTGAGTTAGTCAAATTGGCGAGTACTCGGCTATTACTCGGTATTAAAAAAAAACATGCGCTAACAAAACCTATGAAATTAATCGCTACTGGTCATCCGTTTGGAGCTTCGACTATTGCTGCTACATGGCTTGGAGCTGCGACTGTCACTGCCAGGAGCTCCGACCGCTACTGTGAGGAGCTGCGACTGCTATAGTGATACTGCAAGGAGCTGTGAGTGCTACAGTGCTACTGCGAGCTGTGATTGTGAAATCAACGGGTAAGTTCTTTCCCTCGTTTCTTCTTCCATATTGTTAAAAAAACAATCATGGGATTAACCAAACTGCGGTAGCCGCAATTTTTTAGTATAGAATTCCAAGCTGCTAAGTTTCTTAGTTATTAAGTTCCTTTCATATTAAGCTTTCAGTTTTATATTAATTTTTCCTCGGCAGTGTGTATGTTTGGAACTTTAGTTAGAATTGATATCACCTCTTTCGTATATTCCCCTCTCCCTTGTCTAATATCTTATTATCCCCCTCCTCTCCTTCATGATAAATACACACTCACAAAATCTTTTGATTTAGATGACCCGGAAGTGGAAGAGGAAGAACAAGTGGGGAATCTGACTACTAAAGAACTATTTGGGGACATGGAGGATGAAGACGGAAATCACGACCTTGAACCCAACGAAGATTAATATCAGACCAACTTATTAGATGATTGACTGCTTTATGACTTTTGTTTTATGACTTTTGCTACTCCATCATTAGGATAATAGGATTTCTATCTTTTTATTCACTTCTATGCATTTTAAGACAATTTTAAGACTATTTTAAGACTATTATATTCCTATAATCTCAGGCACCTATATTATTATATTTAATTAATACATGGCCGAGTAATCACCGAGTAATCCCGAGTAATCGGTCCTACTCGCTATTCGGCCCTTGACCGAGTAGCTACCGAGTAGCGAGTTAACTACTTAGTCTGGTGTATTTAAAGATATAGCCATACAAATTAAAGAGCCTAGCCAAAAGGATAAATCAAAAGTTGAGTCCTAGATTCTATTGCCCATTCGAGATTATGGAAAGGATTGGGTCTGTAGCTTATATGCTCAAGCTTCCACCTGACAGTAAAATACATCCTATATTTCATGTCTCTTTACTCAAGAAAGTGTTATCCCCTAACACTTCTTTCCAGCCCCTTCCTAAGTGCCTCAATGAAGAAATGGAGTTGCAGGTTTTCCTGAGGAAGTTGTGGATACAAGGATGAGTCCAGAAGGAGAAGCAGAGGTTCTACACTGGAATGGTCTTCCAAGATTTGAAGACTCATGGGAACCAGTGCAAGTGATGAAGGAACTCTTCCCAGATTTTCACCTTGAGGACAAGGTGAATTTCCAGGGGGAGTATTGATAGACATACAGCTAAGCAACCTATTAAATATTTTAATAAAGTGTACAAAAGAGGGAAGGGAAGGGTAGTTAGTAATTAGCTAAGTAGTTGGTTATGTTATTTTGTTCCTGCGTGAACACTTTACTATAAATAGAAAGCTATTAGCTGGCAATAGGGGGTGGTTATTTTATGTTGGGTATGGACTTTGGAGATTGGGCATCTCGAATAAGCCCCTGAGCACTGTGATCTGTTCAGTTGGAGAATAAAACCATTTCGATCTGTTCTTATCAGTTTTATTGTGCTTGCCATCTTAATTGAGCTTCGGATTACCAGTGATCTATCAACTCCGTATATTGTTTGGCCCACAGAAATGTGAGCAAAAAGAACAGTTTCAACAACAACTTGCTGTTTGCAATACCAAAAGTCAATTTCCACAAAAATCTAAAGAATCAAAGTAAATTTGTTGCCAAGCACAAGAAAAACACAATAAATAGCACTAATTTTCTGGTTTCAATCTATATAAGAAAGGAGAACGGATCTATTTCATAGATCTGAGATGCTGAAACTACCAAGTTAGAGCAGATTTCTATAAAAGCAAACACCATATTTCAATACTCACACCACATTCTTAGTGAATATTAGCGCAGAAAACATTTTGCAAAAAACTGTCCCCTTTAAACAAACTGAACCTTTATAGTTTATACACCTAAGAGGCTACAAGACTTACGAGTCATAAAACTCTACAGCTTTACTTTTAAGAAACCGTGAATTCTAGAAGCTTATTACCTGTGAACACAGTGGACATCAGCAAATCTGACCATATTTCTAGTATTCAAGTATTTAACATCCTAAATACTAAAGGCAAAATTCATGGGGAAAATCCCCCTGAAATAGGAGTAAAACCGTTTTAGAATTCCAAAGTAGGGTTGTCATGTTTTTATTCCCTAAATAGGAGTAATTACTGCCAGGTTTGAAAAATATTGCCATGTTTAACATCATGTACTGCCGAAACATGGCGGTAATTACTCCAATTTCGGGAATGAAAACATGACAGTCTTATTTTGGAATTCCAGATCATTTTTACTCCTATTTACGGCAATTTTTTAAATTCATAAGAATAATCCTTACTTTCAGAAATTCTACAATAATAATCTCTACTGAGAGTGTTCATACAAACAATCCAAACTAGCAATGGTGTCCACAAGAATAAATTGGGTTCAATTCAAACAATGCCTGTTTAATAATCCAAATCCCTACCCCACACTTTTCCTTTCACCACCGTTCATATAGGGTAACACTTCTATCTTCCAACCTACAGAGAACCACATAACATATGATGAAACTGTCATTTAGATTAAACGAGCATTAGTTTAAATTCACCCTGAGAAGAAGAGTAAGGAAGGGAAAAGTGGGGGTCAGATTTGGGGGTATTAAACGGGCATTAATTTTCAGTTCGAATTATTTTTATCAATACTCTCAATAGGGATTATTCTTATAGATTTCTCCACTATTAAAAGGGCAGTCCGGTGCGCAATGTCCGATGTGCACTGGACAAGTCTTGGGTTCGGGGAAGGTCCCACCACAAAGGTGTATAAGGGGCAGGCTTTCCCTTGTCATTTTGACAAGAGGCTGCTCCCAAGACTTGAACCCGTGACCTCTCAATCACACAACAACACCGTAATTGGTGCACCAAGGTTCCCCTTCTTAAATACTAAGCACAAATAATGAGGAAATGATATATGAAAAGTATGCTCGGTGTGCAAATATGCACAATAAGAAATCAACCATCTAATATCCAAATTATAACCTCTCAGCCGCTCGAACTGCTAGTCTACCTGCAATGCTTCGAACTTTATTTGACTGTGGAGTCTCCTTCCCATCACTGGATAAGGGAAGCCCAACTATGAACTCATCAACCTCCTAATTGACAAATAATTTCCATATACATGAACATGTATACACAAGAAACTATAAAAGAATAAATGCAATACAAAGCTATTAATTCAAGAGCATCATCCCATTGTTGATATCATTATGCTGATTATGTAAGTTAAGTATCACTGTCACAGAGAAAAAAGTCTGATCTATGTAGTAGATTTTAAGCACATCTATTAAGAAATGTAAAATGTAAAGAGATCAATATAATATATTTTTTCTTCTGTCCTGCAAAGATAGTTCAAATTTTGCTCTTGTCCACCCCGCAAAGACAATGAAGTTATCCTATATCCTAGTCTTATAGTGAGGTATACAAGTGTAGGGAACCTGTTTCTGAGCAATATGAACAAGTCGATCTTCTAGCTTCTGGCCTCTCAATTCCAAGACCTAACATCAATTAGTCTATCAGAGCATTCGTATAAACATAAATAGCTACAAAAACTTGTACTCATACAGGTCCATAAGCAACTCAGCTTGGGAACAAACAAACACACAAATCTTACCATTAATGGACGAAATGCGAATCCTTTGCTAATAGCAAGACCAGTTCGACTTAATCCCAAGTCAACCCCAAGGCTGAAGCCAGCGCTGCTCCAACGCGGTTCACTCGCCTGCCTCATCGCATTTGGAGGAATTTCATCAACTGACAACGCCGACTTGACCGGAGTACTTTGTGTCGTTGATCGAATGCAGTTCAGGTAAGTGTTGCACTTCCCTGGTACTAGATATGGCAGCTGAATTGGAAATGGAAGTGAAAGACCACCTAGTTTTACCGTTCCCATCTGCTCCTCCAGAAGTCCAGAACGCTGGCATATCACGTGCAATCTGTAGAGTTGGCCTCTTTCTCTGTAGGGGTGTTTGGATATGATTCTCAAAACTCATTCTGCTCTTTAAGGGAGCAGAAGCAGAAGCTGGAGTGTTTGGGTGAAATTCCAGAAGCACTTCTGGAGCTCTAATTTACTCTCAGAATCAGTTTTTTTAGAAGCTGGGGGTACCAGCTTCTGAAAACTGATTCTGATTCTGCTTCTGCTTTTAAAAAAGAAGCAGAAGCAGAATCAGTTCCAAACACCCCCATAAGCCGGGTGTTCGGGAGAGATTTTTTTGGGGAAAACTGTCTATTCTCTCACTTGAATGCTTTATCCTCAAAAATTAATTTGAATGCGTTCTCGATTGAAGTTTTAGTTGAAATTTGGTAGGAGAAAAACTAGTTTTGATGAATAAGATGATAAAAAAAATTCATCAAAAAATTCGACCGGGAACCGCCCCAAATCGCGACGGCCGGACATAGCCTCATATATAAGAACTTATTTGACATTTTAATGAAAATTCGAGGATCTATTTGACAGTTTTCCCTTTTTTTTGAACATTTTTCTAAACCTATTAATGTCATCATTCTTGATTGGGATGAGACTCGAATTTGCGATCTCCTTTTTGGGAGATCAGCAGTACGCCATTAGACCACGAGATGTTTGGCATGTTTGGAGATCAGCAGTACGCCATTAATGCGTGCTCTCTTTGTATTTTTTTAACGGGATAAGGGTCAGTTTGGTCCTCGAAGTTGCAAAAAAAAGGTCAAATAAGTCCTTATATAGAAGATTCTGTCTGGACGTGCCATTTGAGGTGGCTCCCGGTGGAATTTTTTGATGAAATTTTTTGAGCATCTTATTCATTAAGTCTAGTTTACTCATACCAAATTTCAGATAAAGATTCAATGGGGAAGACATTCAAATGAATTCTTGAAGATAACTGTGCCGTTAAAAGCGTTGTTATCTTCAAGAATTCATTTGAATGTCTTCCCGATTGAATTTTTAGCTGAAATTTGGTATGAGTAAACTAGACTTAATGAATAAGATGCTCAAAAAAAAATTATCACAAAATTCCACCGGGAGCCACCTCAAATGGCACGTCCGTACAGAATCTTCTATATAAGGACTTATTTGATGCCTTTTTTGCAACTTCGAGGACCAAACTGACCCTTATGCCTTTTTTTAACTATGCAAATCTTGTGTGTATGATCTGGGAAAGATTATAGTCCTTACTTGAAAATAGTTTTCTTGATTCTTATGTTAGTTTTTAAAAATTATGACGGAGTGCTCCATATTATTTTGATTAATTTTAGTTATTTACGTTGTATGTTCATCTTATGGCGATTAATTTATCCGAGATTTGGGTTTTCACTTTTATTTTATTAAAAGTCATTGTTATTGTCACATTTCTATATTGTTATTGTACTTGTATATTTTTACAATAATATTAACATCGTCACAGTATTAATCTATGTTCTAAAAATCGTTCTAGGCGCCCGATTAGTCACCGCCTAGGTGCTAGGCGGTGGCCGGGCGCCCCGATTTTCATCTAGGCGTTCCGACTAATTGGTTTGCCGCCTAGGTGAATTAGTCGGCCGCCTATGACGCCTAGTTACACGCCTAGAACGCCTAATTGGCCGCTTAGGCCGTCTAGATTCGCCGAACTGTACTTTACTTTTTAATTTTACTTTTCCAAGCGATATACATACTTTAACTTTAGTCATGGATATAAAAAAATGAAGTTGTAAATTAAGATAAAACTATACATGTTTGTATATATACCTAAATTTTATCATTATTTATATTTATAACATAATGAAGTTAAATGATTAGTTATCATATACTACGCATGATTAAATGTGATAATTTTATCTTTCACATTTGTTAATGTATAAGTATATATATATATATATATATATATATATATATATATATACTTTATACACACAAAAATAAAATATTACTTATCATATTTATGCAAAAATATAGATAAAAATGTAATTTCTATGTCTCTGATTAGTCCCCGACTAGGCGTCCGCCTAGCCGCCTAGGCGCTAGGCGTTGGGCTGGCGCCCGACTAGCGCCTAGTGCCTTTTAGAACATTGATATTAATAATGACAATATTGATAAATGATTAGTATAATTGCTATATCATGACATTTTAATAATTTTAACAATGGCCATGTCAGAATATACAATATTATATTTTTGACGTGTAATTTTAACAATGACGTCAGAATGGACAATGTTATATTGTTAATATAATAGCTTACAATGTCATAGCTGTCACAATGTTGTGTTATGCCATTAATACTAATATTGTCATCGTAATAATTACAATTACAATGACATTGTGATTATTACAATGACGTGTTATGTCATTGATACTAATATTGTCATCATTATTTTCTGACATTGTGACGTGCATTATTATATGACAAGGTAGTATAATTTCATTGTTTAAAAATTGATATCATTATATGTCAATGTAATATAATGCTTTTGTTTAAAAATTAATGTCGTTATTTAAAAATCAATGTCATTACATGATAATAATGTAAAATATGTCATTATGTCATTGTACGGTAATATACCAAATAAAGTTCCCGCTATCATATGTCTTAGCAAATGTAGCAATCAATAGAGAAATCCAAACAACTCAATTTCTAAATTGCCCCAGGACATTCAAAGTCATCTTCACACTTGACGCTTAAAGCATAACAAAAAATATGATATGAATATGATATGTCAAATTATATATATTTCATTTAATACGTAATTATTAAACAAAAATAATATTCAAATATTTTGTTCTTCAAATATTTGATTACGATAGCGTTCTTGCTTGATATGTTAATTAAATTTAGAATTATGATACATGTATTTAAATTACTTAGTTAAAATATGATACATGTATTTCAGCTATGATAGGTTAACATAAAATTAATGTTTAACGATGCAGTTTTTGAAATTTTGTGTAATTATGAAATAGATGAAAAGAGATAAATAAACTAATTTTATGTAATCATAAAATTTATTTTTTGAAAATAATGTTTATCTTTCTTATGTTTTTTGTCCTTTTATTTAATTATATATATATATATATATATATATATATATTCTTTTTATCCTTTTTATATTATCATTGTTATGTAATTTTGTTGTCTTTTATATCATACCTTATCTTTTTATATATTTTTTTGTCTTTTATCTCTGATATCATGTATCTATTCAAGTTAGGCGATTCTAATTTTTTGGGAACTATGGCTTGGTTATTGTTGTAATGATAATTTGGATTGAAAAAAGTGGAGACGAAGAGGGTGGGAAGGAGAGGAGTTTGAAGAGTAGAAAACAATTCAATCTTTGATTAGATCTCTGAATGGGCTGGGGTAGAAAGAGGGAAGAGGGAAGGGGAAGGAAGAAGAAATGTGAGAACCAAATGGTGTTTATAGTCTAGTGTATACAAAAAATGTACAACTTTTGTGTAAAAATGTCATTTTCCTTTTAAGGATTGACTCACACTTTTGAATTAAGAGGCAATTCTCTACCCATTAATACACTTACTTTCCTTTTAAGCTAGACATCTTTGACTTTTCTTTCTAATCAATGACGCTAAATTTCGATTGGTAATTGATACAAAGTAATTAAGAAGGGATTAAAGTAGTACACAGACATCTTGTATGGGTACGTGCAATAACTGGTACTATCTCATTTTTATTTTACGTGTCTTACTTTGGTTACGGACAATTATTAATAAATTAATGGAAAAAGTAAAAGTTATTATTGCAATTTGAGTATTATAAAGGAAAGGGAAATGTTGTAAAACATACATTTTTTTTTGTAAAAGGGAAATGCTTCAAAGCAAAAGTAAGACAAAGGAGTACACAAAAGTGAACTAGAAAAACTGTTATGCATTGGTACCAGTAGTCCAATAGTGTAGTACTCATGGAAGAACACCCCACCCTTACCATGTGCTCAACAACTATCTGGAAGATTCAAAAACACACACGCCCACATCTCTCCTTGATGGAATGCTGCTCAACTATGAAACAGCTCATGGAATTCCATGCCCATTTCATCTCAAGTGGCCTCTCCACTCATCCCGCCGTTCTTAGCTCCCTCATATCCTTCGCTTCACTTTCTCCCGCCGGGGATTTAGATTACGCCCGTTGTCTTCTCTCCCGCATAAGAGAACCCAATTCGTTCCTGTTCAATACAGTCATAAGAGGATATGCTTCAAGCTCCCATTCGGCCCCCGCTATCGTTCTCTACAATTCCATGCTCAGGTATGGTGTTCTTCCCAATAGTTACACCTTTCCTTTCGTAATCAAAGCCTTATCCAAGTGCGGTGCAGATTTCCTGTGTGTTGGTGAAACTATACACTGTTCTGTAACCAAATGCGGCCATTTTCCCGATCTTCACATAGCCAACTCGCTATTAAAAATGTACGCTGGTTTCGGGTTGTCACAACTGGCACGCAAGCTGTTCGACGAGAGTTCCCAACCGGATGTGGTTTCTTGGAACGTCATCGTGGACGATCTTTGCCGAAACACTTGCTTTCGTGAGGCTATGTGTGCCTTCTTCAAGATGTGTAAACATGGTGATACTCAGCCTAATTCCGTCACGTTTCTCTCACTCGTCTCTTCTTGCACAAAGGAAAGTGATTTGAGTACTGGGAAAATGATACATTCCCACATAATAGTAACAATAGGAGTTAACATCAGCAAAAACCTTGGAAACTCGTTGCTTGACATGTACTGCAAGTTTGGCGATTTAGTGTCGGCTGAGAAGATATTCAACAAAGTGCAAGTGAGGACACTATTTTCATGGACATCACTGCTAGATGGTTACCTGCTAAAGGGTGACCTCAAGAGCGCTGTGGAAATTTTTCATCATATGCCTGTAAAGGATACGACTGCCTGGAATGTCATGCTCTATGGTTTCATTGAGGCTGGTGAAATCAATTCAGCTGAAAAGATTTTCCGAGAAATGCCAGAAAGGGATTTAGTGTCCTGGAACAGTATGATTCTCGGATATGCCCATAACAACAATACAAAAATCCAGTCTTTGCATTTGTTCAAGGAAATGCTGCGTGTGGGTGTGAAGCTCGATAAGATCACTCTACTCGGTGTGTTTTCTGCTTGTGGGGGTTATACAGGGAAAACACCTTTTCTCGGTGAAGTGATCCATTGTCATATGGAGAAACAGAACATAAAGGGAGAAGAAGTAGAGACGGCTTTGATGGATATGTATTCCAAACACGGTGCTATCCAGAAAGCAATAAAAGTGTTTGAAACTATAGCGAGGAAGTCAGTGCTGGCTTGGACCGTCTTGATCCTGGGACTAGCTATGAACAGTCTTGCAAATGAAGCCCTAAGTTACTTCCACCAAATGTGTGAGGCAGGAGTAAAGCCGAATGGAGTCACCTTTTTAGGCGCTTTGTGCGCCTGCAGTCATGCAGGTTGGCTGGTTGTTTGTTAAAAGTAGCCCACACCTCTTATTCACCATATACGAACTGGGACTCTCTGGCCTTATTATTTGGGTTTCAAAGTTAAGACTCATACTCAAACTTTTGTTCGTCGTTTGAAATTTGAAATGGTTGTAGAATCATCTAATCTAAGGCCAAGCCAAACAAATTTAAGAAGCTATTTACATACCCCTATGAGTCAGACGTTTTCGCGGAGACCCCAGCTAGGAAATATATGAAAGTTTTGTTTGGACTTTTTAAATTCGAGTAAAAGTTTTGAAGTCGACAAAACAAAGGCATCAAAGTTGAAAGGTAACTGAATGACATGGAATTAAAATGTTTAGTTATTATCCTCAATCAATAAGCCTCATCATCATGTGTCGTAGGGGTTTCGTTTACACAAACAATGCCAAAAACATGCAGCACAGCTCAAAGTTAATAATGTGTTTAGACTAGTATTCGCAATCCAAAGCATGGTTAGTGTCCGCTTTAAATTTGAGTTTAACACAGGTCTTGTGGAAGAAGGCAAAGAGTTGTTCAGAGCTATGGTAGAGATCCATGGAATGACACCGAGGTCAGAGCATTGTGGCTGCATGGTGGATCTTTTTGGGCGAGCTGGTTTGCTGGAGGAGGCAGAGAAGCTCATTCAATATTTTCCACCTGCCATAGCTGATGATGCTTCTGGAACTTGGGGAGCACTTTTTGGGGCTTGTAGAATGCACGGAGAGATAGGAATGGCAGAAAAAATTGCCAAAAAACTGATAGAAATCGATCCATATCATTCAGGCAGATATGTTATTCTCTCCAATATCTATGCTTCCGAAAACAGATGGTGTGATGCTGACAAGGTGAGGAGGAGGATGAAGGCGTCGGGTGTTCAGAAAATACCTGGCTTCAGCCTGATCGACCTCAAATCAGTTTCCTAATTTTATATTGATTCTCCGTTTGGAGTCTGGTAATAAATACTTAAGAAAAGAAAATAGGAAGGGGCATTTGGAAGGGAAGAAATTTGAGGGAAAAAACATGAGTCAAATCTGACTCGTAAAGTTTTAGATTTATTTGTTCAAGCTCTTTCTATTACTAAAAAAATATAAATATTTGTCAAATAAATAACGATCAGTTCTGTTACATATATTTAAGTATCTTAGTGTTATTTGTTTTGTGCATAAAAATTAAATTGAACACTAAACAAATATCTGCAATGAATCTGTAGAGTGATAACAAGTCTTTGCTATTTCTTGTGCTACTTAATTCTTCCCTACTAGTAGTTTTTTACTTTTTTTATTACACAAAAAACACATCTATTGTTTTAATAGTAAAGTTGAGTTGTGAATTGCTGACATGTCAATATCTTATTGGTTCGTTAACAAAATTAATTAGCATCACTAATTAAATTCAAAATCATACGGCCGACTTAATGGAACAACATAAGATAGGACTCTGTTATTATTAATGCTTATTCAAAAGTCAACAACGGATTTTGAATGTTGCAAAGTGCATCTAAATAGGACTCTCTCTATAATAATAATAATAATAATAATAATAATAATAATAATAATAATAATAATAATAATAATAATAATAATAATAATAATAATAATAATAATAATAATAATAATAATAATAATAATAATAATAATAATAATAATAATAATAATAATAATAATAATAATAATAATAATAATAATAATAATAATAATAATAATAATAATAATAATAATAATAATAATAATAATAATAATAATAATAATAATAATAATAATAATAATAATAATAATAATAATAATAATAATAATAATAATAATAATAATAATAATAATAATAATGACAATAAGAATAATTACAAAATTACAACAATAACGATAAAAAATACTTACCTCCGTCCTAATTTACTTAGCCATCTTTGATTTTTTCAGTCAAAGATGATAAACTTTGATCAATTATTTTAACTAATATATTTATTCAAAATTTAATAGTTTTATGCTTTTATGATAGTATTTTAACAAAGAAAAATTTTGTATCATTTTCATATTATTAATATTTTCTCTATATAAACATATAATCGGTCAAAGTTAGACGCTATTGACTTGAAAAGTCAAGTTTGGCTAACTAAAATGGGACGGAGGGAGTGTTGCCTAATGCTCCCCTACATTTGACCCACCGTTGAGTGATTTAACTACCGGGTTAAAAAAAATAACAATAATAATAATAATAATTTTAATACCTCCATTCTTAATTAATAGTCCCCTTAGTTTTTTGTACTTCTAAAGAAGAAAGAAAATCAGGGGTAGTATAGAGAGTGTAGGCCGGATAGATGATAAATAGGAAAGAAAATATATTAACAAGAGTAAAGTAAGCAAAAAGTAAGAAAGAAAAATTAGTATGTAAAAAAAATGGACAAGGGTGATAAAGTTGAGTATAAACATATTTTGATTAAAAAAAACTTATTAAAATGGGAAAAAGAAACCAATAGTAGAACACATCCCATCCCAAAATGGATACGAGGCAGTTAATAATTTAATATAGAATAGAGAGAGTAATAATTTACTACCTCCGCCCCCTAAGATTGGGACAAAGGAGAGTAATGCAGTTTATAAGAAAAGTAAAATTATGTGATTGATAATCAATTGATATAGTGAGAATAAAGTAAGAATGAATTAAGGTCATACAAATATAACCAAATATAATAGGAACAAGTTTAATGAGACGAATTTAAAAAATGGGATAATTATAGTGAGACGGAAGAAGTGTAATAATACACATAAATCCTTAAAATAAAATTCATATGGGCAAACAGGTCAGATAAAAACACTTGAGAATATAATAATAATAATAATAATAATAATAATAATAATAATAATAATAATAATAATAATAATAATAATAATAATAATAATAATAATAATAATAATAATAATAATAATAATAATAATAATAATAATAATAATAATAATAATAATAATAATAATAATAATAATAATAATAATAATAATAATAATAATAATAATAATAATAATAATAATAATAATAATAATAATAATAATAATAATAATAATAATAATAATAATAATAATAATAATAATAATAATAATAATAATAATAATAATAATAATAATAATAATAATAATAATAATAATAATAATAATAATAATAATAATAATAATAATAATAATAATAATAATAATAATAATAATAATAATAATAATAATAATAATAATAATAATAATAATAATAATAATAATAATAATAATAATAATAATAATAATAATAATAATAATAATAATAATAATAATAATAATAATAATAATAATAATAATAATAATAATAATAATAATAATTATAATAATTATTATAATAATAATAATAATAATAATAATAATAATAATAATAATAATAATAATAATAATAATAATAATAATAATAATAATAATAATAATAATAATAATAATAATAATAATAAAGGGGTTGATACATGGATGGGATAAAGGGGCTGATACATGCTTGTATATACCCAAAATAGTATATAGGGATATTACCCGAAATAGGACTAAAAAGGTTTCAAAATTTCAAAATAGGACTAACCTGTTTTTATTCCCAAAATAGAACTAATTACTGTCATGTTTTGGCAGTACCAGACTTCAAACATGGCAGTATTTTCTAAACTTGAGAGTAATCACTCCTATTTTGAGAATAAAAAAACATGACAGTCCTATTTTGGAATTTTCAATCTGTTTTAGTCCTATTTCGGGAACTTTCCCTAATACATAATAATGATAATAATGATGATGATGATAATAATAATAATAATAATAACAATAATGATATATAATAATGATAATAATGATATCATTCTAAAAAATAAATAGTGATACCTATTTTAAAATCAAAATTATTCTTACTATTTTACATAGTATGATAGTAATAATAATATATATTTTAAAATCAAATCAAAATTACACAAATGGAAAAAATCATGTTTACATAATTGTTCATAAAATAGATATCAGGGAGTACGTACTATACCTATCCTGTATTTGCAAAAAATCGATGATCAATATTACAAAATTTCAACAAAAACTTTTGAATTAAGACTAATATATAAAACATTTCTCAAATTTTAATGAACAAAAATGACTAATATATTTATATAGTAAGTAAAAAATTGTAGGGATTAGTGAATTTCGTATTAAAAACTGATGTTGGATAATAAAGTAATTGAATATTTATGAGAGTGATCGACACCACCGGGGCATGCCCCGGGTGTTACACTAGTATTTTACAAATACTACCAACCTTTACTTTTCAAAATCATTTTTCTCAAACACTATTAACTTTTACTATTAATCATTTTTTCCAAAATCACTTAAAAGTAGTCTTGGACCTGGTTCGGGCCGCCCGACCCGGGAACCGGCCCGGCCCACTACTATGCGAGCCCGGACCGGCCCGGTGAACCGGTTTTGGTTCCGGGCCTAGGCCCGGTCCTGGGGGTTAGGACGGGGCGGTCCCGGTTTAGCCCAGTCTTTGGAACCGGCCCGGCCGGTTTCGGGCCCAGTTCAGGTCTTTTTTTTTTTTTTTTTTTTTTTTTTCATTTTTTGGGCTTTTTCTTGAGTTGGGTTGGGTGTTTTGGGGGGTTTGGGGGGTAGGGGGTAGGGGGGTCGGGGGTTAATTAGAAAGGAAAAAAATAACCCGGACCCAGCCCGACCCGGACCAGGTGGTAACCCGGGCCGGTCCCAGGCCTTTACCCCAAACATCAAAAGCCCGCCCAGGCCTAGGCCCGACCCGGACCTGACCCGGCCCGAGTCCAATACTTAAAAGTGTTTTTTAAAGCAAAATCATTTGCAAACATTCTCGTAGTGTCATTGAACCCTGTTATTATTGAGTTTCTCGTCAATAATGGGTCTACAGATTTCACTGATACACATGAATATTCAAACAACCCGATCCAAACATGTGAATGAAAATTCGAAAAGTACGGATGATAATCGAATGATGAGTGAATGAGATGACAGGTCAAGTTAGAATCATTGGATCCATCAAACTTGTTGCCAACAGTGACCATTAATATCTTTCATCCCTTATTAGTAAAAAAAATTTAAAAAATAGATTTTGAAACCTTTTTTATCATAAAAGAGCGGTCGTTATATTAAAATCGAGAACACATACAAGACAATCTTCAGACAGAATTTATAGATCCAGTTGTGAACTCTGGGAGTATATTTAGAATCAGCCACCTCATACAAAGCAACATGACCCGCTGAACCTGAAACGGGCAAATTTAAGCCTAAAACGATCGGAACCGAAACCCTGCCTATCAAAAGAACTCCAAAGATCCAAGCATTCAAACCAAATCTACTCGGACAGTCGGACTAAAACAGAAACAATTGCAACTAAAGAGAAAATAATACTGAAATAAAATCTTTCACAAAGCTCATACTGGTATGGAGGTGGTTCTGGAGGAGGACGAGCTCTTGCAATATGGGTGTATACCAACTCCACCATCGTCGGAATGGCCAACCATGGCTTCACGATCCAGCCTCGATACAACCTCTCAACCGCACCTCGTTCATCCGTCGCTATCTCCCCTGACGTAGTTGCAATCCCAAACGTTAGAACACTTAAAATCAGTATAATCTGTCACTTCAACCCCATATTGATTATTGATAGGGCGGCAAAAAACCTCAACCCCTACAAAGAGGAGAGACGTCTGCATGTGTTCCTCTTTCTCTAGAGAGAAGAGAGTTCAACATTTTTTCTCTAGTATTGATATATTAGATTTTGAAACTTTAAAATGAGAGGAATTTAACCATATATTTTTTTAAATTTATTTTATAATACATTAATAAATAAAATAGAGTCAAAGTACAACATGTTAATAATGGAAAAAGTTCAATGTTGCATTTAAAAAAGAACGGATGTAGTGTTTAATTATTTATACACACACATTACTTTGTTAGATATTAAATTATTCATTTAAATTCAAATCATACAAATGTGGGAACTAGTGATGGCCTCGGTGCGGGCCACCAAACTCGGGAACCGGCCCGGCCCGGTACTATGTGGGCCCAATCCAGCCCGGGAACTGGGTACCGGTTCCGGATCTATGCCCGGTTTAAGGACGAATCCGGGCGGTTCCGGGACTAATTAAATGTGAACCGGCCGGCCCAAGCCCGGTTCGGGCCCTTTTTTGTTTGGGCTGGGTTTAAATGGGCTGGGCTGGGTGTTTCCGATGGGTTTGGGGGATGAGGGGTAGGGGATGAAATAATCAAGAAAACAAAAAAAAAATAGAACCGGACCCAGCCCGAACCCGGTGGACAACCGGGCCGGTCCCAGGCCTAACCCATTGCCATCCAGACCCGGTCGGGCCCGGACCCGGGTCCATCACTAGTGGGAACTCTAATACTTCTAACGTTTTTAGGAACTTAAATCCCGTTGTTTGTTTCAAATTCACGAACGGATGGAGTATGAGAAATTGAGGTGTGCGAATGCGGATGAACCTCCTCCTGATAATAACCCAACCCCCTTCTAATCCTACTTATTCATACAAATACATCCCACAATAAGTTTAAAAGGCTTAGTAGAATAGACATTTGACGGAAAGAAAAAGTAATTCAAACACTTTCGAGAATAACTAATAAGTAGTAATTTCTCGCATAAGGCCAAGAGCCCAAGATAAGGTACGCCTGTATATGTGGATTTAAGGCCAAGCAAAAGTGAATTCTTTTCACTTGTATTATAGTTGTATATGCATACACGTGCACGGGCACAGAAAAGCAAATCATAAGGTGATATTTTTTTTAAAAATTACAAGTTATTATAAAGTGGAGGCTTTTATATGTGTGCACAAACTTAAATTTACGTTCCAACAGCTATAGATGACTAGCCACAGTTTTTGCAGAACTCCAGTATTTGGAAATAGAGAATGTTCGATGCAATCTATACACAGTTATAGTACACGCATTAGTACAGTTATTCTGCAAATGCACATCATTAATTAAATCTCAAACGAAGAGAGCAGAGATACACCAAACTGTGCTTTCCATCCATCCAATCTCTCACGAAGTCCTACAAAAGAAAATGACTTTTATGTGCCAATGAGGAGACCAGGGTAATTGATCAACATTGCACGAACTACTAGAGACTGCTGCTGCTATGACCCCAAAACCCCTATGATGAAGAGACATAAGAAACATATATACAGCAGCAATAGCGGAATATTTTTTATAGAGTTTCTTTGGGTACGTTATGGAATAGTCCATCTCACTAATTGTTCTTATGGGCTTGTCACCTTGTTTTGAGGCTTAAAACACAACCTGCTTGGTTTCGGGGGAAATAGAGAACACATAATTAGGTGAGAAAAAGATGGAGAGAAATAGTGTACATTTACATGTTTCCTTGGTGCAAGAGAAATGGAGAAGATTGAAAAAATTGAGGAGTTCATATCATACTCCTCTCGAATAAGATCAAGAAATAGAGGTTGATCCACCATTTTCATTTCTCACCAAACAATAAAACCTCCGCATTAATCACACTATTTATTTCCCCTCTATTTTTCCCTATCGTTTTCTCTCCTTACCAAACAACAGCTAAGTGTTCATAATTGCCGTCATTTGCGATCACAAATTAGACCCGATATTTAAGAGGCAATTCATGCTCCAATAAAAGGAAGCTTTCAAGTTTCAATACGCCAATTACATCGACATTGTAATTGAAAGGAAACCAGAAATGACCTTTTTCTAAAGAGCCATCTCAGCCTGCAAAGCAGCAATTTCATCTTCCTCAGCAGTGTTCTTCCGGAGAGGACGATGTTCCGGTTGCCTACCACTAGCTGCTTGTGCATGAATTGGTGCAGCAGGTGCGGTCGTAGCAGGTTGAAGAAGTTGTCCCTCCAACTCAGCTTCTTCTAGCTCTTCAAGTTCAGCCTCCAATTCATCCTGATGAGTGATTACACATTCTTAGATATTCTCCGCACTCAAGCATAAATACATTGATACATTCACACACATACATGCAAGCATGCACACACATTTATATGGGAATTGAAATACTTATGGCAGACCTTCCCAGTGCCTACATTTAGCAAGATTTAGTACTTAACAAAGCATCTACGATTTGCATGCTTTTACTTTTTAATTACGAAGCATATGGGCTGTTAAAAGTGATCCAACAGCCTTCATCAGTCATCACATAGATCATCACAAACGCCTCTTAGGGACATTTCTCTACACACCCATATATGTTCACATACAAAAGTGCTTCTTACGTAAAAATGGGGATTAATCTTAACCATTGAACTAAAATATTCAGGGATGGGAACAAATATTCAGGAACAAAATGTCATGGCATTTTAGTAAATATTTCAAAGTATATCATGCATAGAGTGCAACATTATTATTCACATAAAGGTGCAGCTTGTCTGAATGAAATATGCAAAGCTGAAAGAGTGGTGGCAATTCGTAAATATAGCTAGCACAGTCTGGTGTATATAACAGTGCACATTTAATTTTAAAATTTACACATTAAACTTCTAGACAATAAAATCATGCCACCACGTTTTAATTGAAATATAGATTTAGTCCACCGGTCCACCCAATTTAAAGTGATCAGAGACCTAGATTTAGTCCACCGGTCCACCCACCCACCACACGAGTAGAGGTTACAAAATGAATACCTCATCAAAATCGGCTGCTGCTCCAAGTGGAGCAGACAGCGCTTCCTGAATCTGTTTCATATTCTCAGTCTGCTCATTAATCTCATCCATTGTTTTGTCCACATCATCAATATTCCTGAGCCAAAGACATCATAGTACAACAATGTTACAAATTTACAATACATATTATCTTTTCCAATATGAGAATCTCAAGCTTGATTCAAAGATTGATGCTAAGTTGCTAACACATCATAGAATCTGACTTGTGTCCCTTAGGGTGTGTTTGGATGGAGGTATTTGGGGGGATGTTCATCTCCCCTCATTTGGTTGAAGAAATTTTTGAGGAGACAAAGTTCACCCTCCCCCTCTAGTCCCCTTATAATCCTCTCTATATAGCTCTTTTTGAGCATTAAAAACTCATAAAGAACCCCTTCCCTATCCCTCCAGCACAATCAAACAAAATACACTCCTTCCCCTTGCCTTGAATCAAACACACCCATAGTCCCTTACCCTTCAATAATGATAATCCTAAACACACGCTAATTACACACAACAACAACCTCCATGCCTAATTCCCAAAAGATTTTGGGGTCGGCTAACATGAACCGATCCATGATATCACAGCCAAAAAGAGAAGAAAGATAAGAAAAATAAAAATAAGGTAACATAAAATGGATAAGATAAAAATAAACATGGAGTATAAGATAAAAATATATATGGAGTATAATATAAAAATAATATAAGAACATAAGATTCAAACACGCTAATTACACAAGCCACCACAACTTGTCATTAAAAAATTAAGTTCCCTTAATGAAATTATCAACGGAAAAGATATTCATCTCTCAAATGCAATATAGATATGGAGGAGAAGTTTTATAAGGTCCCGGGATCTCTGGATTATGGTTGTAAATAAAGGGTTCCACACTTCCACATGCTTTAATTTTATTAGATTGCATTGGAGGGAAAGATTTATGAATGCTGTAATATCAAGCCAACAAAACGAGAGGGAGCATGGGGTGGCAAAAAACCGTGTTGCAAAAATAACTCACGTAGCCTTCTGCATGGCTTTCATAGTAGCAGCTCCAGTTCTCAAAGCATCAACAGTTTCTGTTGTGGCTTTAGCGCCTTCTAGCATTATCATCTAAAATTCGAACCCAAAGAGTTCTTCAATAGTTACTCAAGAAATGTATGCATAAGAGACATAGATATGTAACATATGAAACACACCTGATCATGGATACGCAATTGGAAGTTCCCAAGTTGTTCAATTTGTTGTTCATAAAGCCTTTTCCTCTTAAGACATTGAATCGCAGCTGCAAAAGGAATTAAGATCGCAAATTCATCCTAAATGAAATCAAAGACACTAGACAGCTACAAACAAGGAGGATTCACATATACGAAATAGCATTCAACTAAGATAGTGAAATGTATGATACCCCTGCCAACAGAGTGACTGAGAGAGGAACAATGTCCTTCTAGGGTTAATTTAAACACATTTAGCAAGCAGACACAATTTTATATTGTATCACAAAGATTGAATGGGTAATAAGGCTTGACTGAGATGCTGCTAATAGCTTCCACCTCAAATGCATCACCAAATATCAAGATACCCCAAAGTAAAGAGCATCTAAGACCATACTATTCAGATCAAAAGTATGCTACACCAATAACAAAATAAGAAAGCCATTGAGAAAAAAAACAGATTCCATTGAGCAGATAAACAGAAAACGTACCCCTTCTGTTTTTAGCTTTAGTGAAGTCCTTGGCCTTCTCAACTTCAGCTAAAGCTTTCTTCTGTAGAACCTTCTCCTTTTTCTCTAACATGTCAAGTGTCTGCTCAACACAGTCAAGTTAAGTTTAAAAATGAAGATAAGCCGCTAAGTCTTTAAGGAAAGAAGAGGTGGCAACTCACATAACTAATATGCTAATAGGTTGACAAATAAAATTCTCTTGGTCGGAAAGCACTAGAAATTCCAAATCTGACAAAATATACTAGAGATCTCCATAACTAAAGGGACATTGGAGTATTGGAGTCAAAAACACGTGTTTCTATTTAAATAGAGATGAATGGAAGAAAGGAACTCTCTTAAACAATAACACACAATTCATGTTTAGAACCAATAGTATAGAACAACCCATTCCTTGAGTAGAGGTTTAAACGAAGTAAGCTTTCAAAAACTGACTCCCTAGTCTACATTTTCTTGAAATCAAGTAAGGGTGTCCACTTTCTTTGGAGGTCACTGAACAAAAAAAATAAGCTACAATAATTTGATTTGAATGACAGTATTTCCAGAATGCCAAAAATATTATGGAGTATATGTTTGTGTTGAAGATGAACCTTCCATCCCAAGAATCCAGGAATGGAAGAACCATATACACATATTCCAAAAGTTCCTTTCTTTCCTCCTGATACGGTTATTTGGTTCCCTCATCCATAGAAGCTAATTAATGCGTTGTAGCTAGCAGAATAAGTATTTAAGTAATCGAAGAAAAAAACATGCTGGGAGTTTTGAAATCAAAAGTGGTGGGAATCATATTACACAACGAAGTAAAAATAAATCATAATTCAACATTAGAAACCAGAACCTTTATTTTGAAATAAAATGCAGCGTGATTAAAATAAGAACTCTGGACCAGAAGTACTCATCAACACAGGTTTTCAACTAGCAATAATAATAATTTTATATCACAAACAATGAAATTAATGACAGAAGCAATAATAACGCTATAGATACAGAGAGAAAGAAGTGTTAGAAATACAACGATCGATTAAAATCATACCTCGTTTAATTTGTCTAGAGTGGTAAGCGCATTTGTTTCCTGTTTAGGTTTCCCGAAGATTCTCGTAAACATCGTGGCTTATAACTTTTCGGATAAATTGACTTGAATATTTAACCCTGTAAAAAGAAACCGACTAATTCACCCCGATCAACTCAGCAAAAACGGTGATTTAAAACGAAAGTATATGATGAACCGAAATCGGCTGACCTGAGACAACAGGCAAGTGAATCAGATCAATTAGTCAGCTTCGACGACTTCCGAATGATCCAACCGCCGACGACTCAATTCAACATCGGGAGGACGACGACGAGAGAGAGCCTTACAGATTGCTTATGAGAGCAGTAACCGTGTGCGGCTTGTCAGCTTGGAGCCTTGGATTATTAATTTCCAAAAAAAACTCAATTGAATCAGGCAATTGAATTTTTTTTGGATTATTTTGGAGCCTTGGATTTTTTTTGAGCCCTTGGATTTTTTTTTAGATTATTAATTCCCAAGGGAGCATAAAAAGTATTACTCCCTTCGAAAATAATTAGTTGGTTTAGATAATACAAATTTGTAGTTATTAGGGAAAAGTATGAAAAAATTTCTTGTGGTTGAGCCTGTTTTCAGATAGGGTCACGTGTTTCATTCTTTATCAAAGTGGTTCATGTGTTTGAATTCCGTTATCACAAGAAGGTCACGCCGTTAAAAACATCTGAAAAAGACCGTTAAAAGTAACTCTGGTTTTCAAAAGTGCTCGGAAAATTAAAAGAAAATTAACAAAAGGCGCGTCTCGTCAAGATGACCTACAAACAACCTTTGCCTTTGGATTTTTCAGATCTGTTTGAATTATTTTTTAAAATGATTTCACTAATATCACTTTTCCGGTGGACTTTCCGGTGACAAGGGTGGCTGAAAACAAAAAAGAAAGATGACTTAGCGGCCGTCTTATTGAGGCGCACCTTCCGATATTTTTCTTTTAATTTTTCGGGCACTTTTGAAAATCGAAGTTACTTTTAACGGTCTTTTTCAGACGTTTTTAACGGCATGACCCTCTTGTGATAACGGAATTCAACCACATGAACCACTTTGATAAAGAATGAAACTCATGACCCTATCTGAAAACGGGTCCAACCACAAGTACCTTATCCGTACTTTTCCCTAGATATTAACATAATTCAAGTTTTGCAAAAAAACATAATTCAGGTTGAAATAATTTTAATAGATGCGTAGTATATAAGTGTAGTATGTTTAATACATAGTAGCTCATTATAATTGTGATGTTATAAATGTAGCGTTTTTAATAATTGATGAATGATTTATCATTTAAAAGTACTAATTAATTCTTAAAATAGAAATGTGAATTTTTAGTTAGGATGTCCAATAGTAAATAAGAAATTTAGACTGGGATAGTGGGACTGCTAGTAATGTACTAGAGGTTTGGAGTAACTACCTCGAGTCCTGCGGGGCCGGGGTGTTACAATCCGTGCACGAATCCTTGAGGGGCCCATTGATGACTTTCGGGTACGTGATGACGGTCTGTTACTGTTTAAAGACCGTGTATGCATACCTCTGTAACACCCCGGGCCCGCAGGGTCCGGGGTAGTTACTCCAGACCTCTAGTACTGTCCTCACAAACCACCACGAGCCTTTACCGCACACTTTGTCCTCACTCATGCGCGCTCTGAGAAACTTCCCAAGACTACTCCCGTCCCGTGCAAGCACGCTTAACTTTGGAGTTCTTGGGTGATGAGGTCCCTTAAAAGGAGATGCACCTCTGTTGGTATGAGTAGTACTATTAATCCTCTTAATTTAATCTCGGGTATTACAATCACCCTTACTTAGGATCGCAACGTCCTCGTTGCGCCCTTCAACTAATCTCAATCAAACCCCATAATCTTTTCCCCTGATAAGTGTTTGCCCGATATCCAACGGATCAGCAAACTGTCGCATGGTTGCTCTGATACCACCCGTAACACCCCGGCCCCGCAGGGTCCGAGGTAGTTACTCCAGACCTCTAGTACTGTCCTCACAAACCACCACGAGCCTTTACGGCACACTTTGTCCTCACTCATGCGCGTCCTGAGAAACTTCCCAGGGGGTCACCCATCCCAAGACTACTCCCGTGTAAGCACGCTTAACTTTGGAGTTCTTGAGTGATGAGCTCCCTTAAAAGGAGATGCACCTATGTTGGTATGAGTAGTACTATTAATCCTCTTAATTTAATCTCGGGTATTACAACCCCGGGTCCTGCGGGGCCGGGGTGTTACAAATGGTATCAGAGCAACCCTGCGACAGTGTGCTGATCCGTTGGATATCGGGCAGACACCTAGCAAGGGAAAAGATTCTGGGGTTTGATTGAGATTGGTTTAAGGGCGCAACGAGGACGTTGCGATCCTAAGTGGAGATAATTGTAATACCCGAGATTAATTTAAGATGATTAATAGTACTACTCATACCAAAAGAGGTGCATCTCCTTTTAAGGGAGCTCATCACCCAAGAACTCCAAAAGTTAAGCGTGCTTGCACGTGAGTAGTCTTGGGATGGGTAACCCCCTGAGAAGTTTCTTAGGGCGCGCATGAGTGAGGACAAAGTGTAAGGTGTTAGAGACAGTTTCTTAATTTATTTTTGGAAACAAGTTTCTTATTTTATTTTAGGAAACGCATTCTAGTTGCCTTGGGGTTAGGATTTACTTCTCTATAAATACAAACTCTTTCCCTTTTAATCATTGAGTGTGTTCTTCTTATTATTCATCGCGTGCGTGAGTTTAATTCCTAACAATTGGCATCAGAGCCCTAGGTTCGAAGGGAGATCTCACGATGGCAGACAATTTGAAGACACCGATGATGCAGTTTGACGGAACGGATTACGGATTCTGGAAGTTGCAGATCGAAGATTACCTGTACGGTAAAGATTTGTATCAACCTCTGGATAATAAGCGGGAAGACATGAAGGAGAGCGATTGGAAGTTGCTGGACAGAAAAGCGATGAGCGTGGTGCGATTATCACTGTCCAGAAACATCGCCCTACACACCGTCAAAGCAAAAACGACGAAGGAGATGTTTCAGATTTTGTCGGATATGTACGAGAAACCTTCCGCTGTGAACAAAGTTCATCTGATGAGGCGTCTTTTTAACCTGAAGATGTCAGAAGGTACGGGAGTGGTGAATCATCTCAACGAGTTCAATGTGATCACCACACAGTTGAGCGCGGTTGAGATAAAATTCAACGACGAAATTCATGCCCTTATTCTGCTGTCTTCTCTCCCTGAAAGCTGGAACGGAACGGTGACTGCAGTCAGCGCTTTGGCAGGGAAGGAGAAACTGAAATTCGATGAAGTCAGAAATTTGGTGGTGAGCGAAAAAATTCGCAGGAAGGAATCAGGCCTGGCTTCTGGATTGACGTTGAGTACAGAGAACCGGTGCAGAACGAAGTCGGAGTCCAAGTCAAATCGGGATAGATCAAGATCCAAATCCAAGTCAAACAGCAAGGGCAAGAAGGACAGAAGTCAGATCAAGTGCTGGAACTGTGAGGAGTACGGACACTTCAAGAGCCAGTGCAAGGAGCAGATCAAGGATCTGAAGGAGAAGACATCAGCCAATGCAGCGGCAGAATCATCTGGCGATGATCTCCTGATCCTAAGCGTGAGCAGTCCGTTGGAGTCATGGGTTCTGGATTCTGGAGCTTCGTTCCATTCATGTGGTAATGTTGAAGTGATGGAACAGTATACTCCCGGCAATTTTGGAGAGGTGTATCTTGCTGATGATGAGCCTCTTAAAATTGCCGGGAGGGGGACAGTCCACGTGAAGACTTAGAACCGATGCATGCTGAAACTTTATGGCGTCCGACACATTCCTGGTTTGAGGAGGAATCTTCTTTCAATTGGGCAGCTGGATGAGGAAGGTTATGCAGTTGCATTCGGCAGCAGAAATTGGAAGATCACCAAGGGAGCCTTGCTGGTTGTTAAGGGGAAGAAGGAGGATACGTTGTACATGACAACGAACTCGAAGGACTGCATCGATGTTGTTGCCGCTGCAACAAACAATGTAAATTTGTGGCACTGTCGTCTCGGTCACATGAGCGAAAAGGGGATGAAGGAGCTTTGCTCGAAAGGCAAACTGCCCGGCCTTAAGACTATTGAGGTTAGCTTATGCGAGGACTGCATATTCGGGAAACAGAAACGTGTCAGTTTCTCACAAGGAAGGCAAGCTATCAAACCAGAGAAGCTGGAACTAGTTCACACCGACCTTTGGGGACCTGCAGAAGTTACATCCTTGGGAGGATCCGCCTACTACATGACCTTCATTGATGATGCGGCAAGAAAGGTATGAGTTTATTTTCTCAAAAATAAATCTGATGCCTTTGATGCTTTCAAGAGGTGGAAAGCTCGTGTTGAGACAGAGAAAGATTTGAAGTTGAAGTGCCTTCGGTCATATAATGGAGGTGAGTATGAATTGCATGAGTTCAAGAATTTTTGTGCTGGGAATGGGGTTCGTATGGAGAAGACAACAAAGGGGACTCCGCGGCATAATGGCGTTGCTGAACACATGAATAGAACACACTGAATGAGCGGGCAAGATGCATGAGGTTAAAGAGTGGCTTACCGAAGATGTTTTGGGCGGATGCAGTGAACACCGCGACTTTTCTCATCAACAGAAGTCCAACGATCTCGTTGGAGAATGGCATTCCTGAAGAAAGGTGGACGGGTAAAGAGGTAAATCTGTCCTATCTCCGCATATTCGGTTGTGTTGCTTATGTTCATATCAGTTCCGTTGACCAAAGCAAGTTAGACGCAAAATCTGTTAAGTGGTACGTTCGTTGGATATGGTAATGATGACTATGGATACAGATTCTGGGATGACCAGAATAGGAAGATTATTCGTAGCCGAGATGTAATGTTCAACGAGCAGGTTATGTACAAGGACAGATTGATTGCACCTGATTCTGAGCAAGAAAGTCTGAAAATCATAGAGTTGGATATCTCGAATTTAGGTGGGAGCAAGCAGGATCAGAATGAAGAGTTGAGTAGTGATGAAGATCCATCAACCCCACCAAGGCAGCGGCCTGCCAGAAACCGGAGAGCACCAAATAGGTATTCACCTTCTAATTTCTATTGGTTGCTTACTGATGGTGGTGAACTGGAGTCCTATGCAGAGGCAGTTCGGTTTGATGACAAGGGCAAGTGGAAACTTGCAATGGATGATGAGATGGCATCTCTCACATCCAATGATACTTGGAGGTTAGTTGAGCTACCGAAAGGAAAGAAGGCTTTGCATTGCAAGTGGGTCTACCACATCAAGAAGGAGGCAGATGGTAGCAAACGCTACAAAGCTAGGTTGGTTGTGAAGGGGTTTGAGCAGCGTTATGGTATTGATTATACCGACATATTCTCTCCAGTTGTGAAACTAACTACTATTCGGTTAGTGTTGGAGTTAGTTGCTGCAGAGAATTTGTTGTTACATCAGATGGATGTGAAGACTGC